TATATATATATATATATATATATATATATATATATATATATATATATATATATATATATATTAACAATTAAGACAAGTTTTTTTTAATAGAATAATTTTCATCGAGTGAGATATTATTCGAAGGGTATAATTTTGGTTTTTCGAATTTAAACCAAGAACGTTTAGTATACACGTATACATACATATATAAACATGATCACGCACGAATCGCGTGGTACACGCATGAAACGTGGGCGCACCTATCTTTTCGTAACGCTCAAGGATGAATAAAGAAGAACTTCTTCACTTCTTCTTCTTCTTCTTCTTCTTCTTCTTTTTTTCTTTTTTCTTCTTTCAAACCTCTTCCTCTTCTTCTCTGTTTCTGTTTCTCTAACTAAACCACCGTACATCCAACTGCATCATCATCATCATCATCATCACGTTGTGAAAATGCAACAAGTCTTGCGTTATTTCAACCAGACACAACTACTAACAAATGTTTTATTTTCCAACAATTTTTTTTTTTTTTTTTAAACAAATAATCATAGTTCTTCCTTCTTTCTTCTTTTTTTTATTTTATTTTAAATTACACGAAACGTTGTTTATCATATTTTTTTTTCTTTTTCTTTTTGTTTCGTTGTATTTTACAGCTATGTAACGAGAAAAATAAAAAACATAATTTACAATGAGAGATAGATCGTTTCAGCTGTGCCAAAGTATTTTTTTTCTATTTCTTGATACAGGTGTAGCAATCAATAATGTTCGATTACTACGTTTTCTTTTTCTTTTTCCTTTTTTTTTTTATATTCTTCATCGATAAACTTTATCGTCATTGATTGACGTGACATACTTCATTAATTTAAAACGTTTGATTGTCGTAGCTCTGCTTGATACCACTTTAACATTCTTTCGATAAAAAAAAAAAACAAAACCTTTAGATAGAATGAATCTTGATCGATATTCGATATTCTTATTTATAACTGTAACAATTTACACTATGAACCTTATTATTATTATTTTGATATCTACATATATATGTATATTTACAGTACCACCATGTCGCGTGCTGTATTAAAGGATTCACCAAATGCGGCTTTAGATAAGTCGTTATTGCAAAAATACCTTGACCTGCCACAACCGGAAAATGCAATTCAAGTAAGATACATATGGATCGATGGAACAGGTGAAAATGTTAGATCTAAGACCCGTACTTTGGATTTTGTGCCTAAACATCCTTCTGGTTAGTACCTTCTTTCAAATTTTAATCATTTAGAATATTACATTAATAATATACATATATATAATTAAGTAATGTTAACACCTAAATCATAAAATATGCGATACGAGTTAATGAATTGGTTTTTGTTTTTTTTTTTTACAACCTTGACTGCATACAAACCAAGGAAGCTTAAACGTAGACATTTATAGAATCACAATGAACCTAACTCATTCGTGTATGCAACATGCGTTGAAATCTTTCATTCAATCTTCTTAACATTAGAAAACAATTCGCATAAGTAGCCAAACGATAAATCACTATCTTTTACGAGTTCTCATTGTATCTATGTAAAAAGAACAAAACAAGAACAAGATAAGAGTTACAAGAAGAAAAAAACAAGAAAATACAAATTGTACAAGATTAAAATCGAATGAAATTTGAAAAACATCGTATCGATGTTGTTTACGAAAAATAAGATAAGATAAAACAAATATAATTAAGAAAATATATATAGGATAAAGAAACTCTTGAGATATTTGATTGTGTATAAGAAGATGATTAATAAAATAATAATGAAAACATTTTTTTTTGTAGATATACCAGAGTGGACTTATGATGGTAGCTCGACGTATCAAGCAGAAGGAATCAACAGCGATATTTATCTTTCTCCTGTAGCAATTTACAATGATCCATTCCGTCGTGGTAATAATAAGTTGGTTCTATGTGACACCTATACCAGCGATAGATTACCAACAAAATCAAATCAACGTTATCTATGCAATCAAGCAATGCAATTTGCTAAAGACGAAGAACCATGGTTTGGTATTGAACAGGAATATACTCTAATGGATATCGATAAGAAGCCATTGGGTTGGCCTAAAAATGGTTTCCCGGGACCTCAAGGTCCATATTATTGCGGTGTTGGTGCTGATAAGGTTATAGCTCGTGAAATTGTTGAGGCTCATTACAGAGCATGTATTTATGCTGGTGTTAAAATAGCTGGTACCAATGCCGAAGTTATGCCCTCCCAATGGGAATTTCAAGTTGGTCCATGCAGTGGTATCAAAATTGGCGATGATCTGTGGATAGCAAGATTCCTTCTTCATTACGTTGCTGAAGAATACGGTGTTATCGTCAGTTTTGATCCTAAACCGGTCGAGGGTCAATGGAATGGTGCTGGAGCTCATGCCAATTTCTCAACTAAAACGATGCGCGCCGAAAATGGTATTGCAGAAATAGAAAAAGCTATTGATAAGCTTAGTAAACAACACCTTAGGCATATCCAAGCTTACGATCCACGTGGAGGAAAGGATAATGAACGTAGATTGACCGGCAAATGCGAAACCAGTAGTATTCACGATTTCAGCGCTGGCGTAGCTAATCGTACAGTCAGTATTCGTATACCTCGTGGTGTAGCTGAAGATAAGAAAGGTTACCTAGAGGATAGAAGACCAAGCAGTAATTGTGATCCTTATGCTGTGACCAATGCTCTTGTACGCACTTGCATTCTCAACGAGTAAACAAGCAGAATATTTTTTGATACACACTTTGAAAACTTCTACTATTATGTAGATGTTAGAGAACATACCTGCACTTTGGACCCCGGTTATTAAATGATTTTTTTTTTTTTTTTTTGTAGATTGTAGTATATATAGAATTCTGAAAAAAAAAAAACAAAAGATCTGGGAAAATAAAATACAAATAAACAATAACTGTTATTTAAAGAATGTTGTGCCAATGGGTTAATCATTGGTATGACGAAAGTTAAGTTTGATGCCTTTTTCATAATATTACATCAATAATTCATATCTCATTGAAAGGGGAGGGTCTGTGCTGGGCTACCTGCCGCATAGTATAATTAAATTTAGATGACGATAAATGGGCTATCAAAGTGTTCCTTTTGTCCAAATTATTATTACATCGACATTTTTACAAATGGATGGTCTTGCGTTCGTTTATCGTCGTTTAATTATTAAATAATAATATATCGCTCTATTTTATTATTATTATTATCATTATTATTATTATTATTATTATTATAATTATAATGAATAAAGAAAAATGTACACACCTCTATATATTAATATGTAATTTGTATATTGTATATTTTCATATATATATATATATATATAAAGATATTTTCTATGCTCATTCGTTAATGTACTATTATAAATATATACTATAATCGTTGTTAGCAAATTTTGCTGATAATGAATAATTATTATCGCTGTTGTTGTTGTTGTTATAATACAAAGAAATGAAGTTTCTGGGAGCAATTAATATCCTTCCTAAAAAATGGGAATAACATACCTGTTGCGTTATTAAATAAATAAATAAATAAATCTATGATTAATAAGTTAGATGAATAATTTATTTGATTAATTAGAATTAAGAGAGATGATGAAAAGAAATATTTTGTTAAATTAATTATCTAATGAATTATATATACCCCATACTATTATATATATATATATAAATTATAATACAAAAGTATACAATTACATATATATATATCAACTCACCTAATAAAATTTTATAATATCTTATTATTATAATACAAAGTGAAAGCTTATATCATACGAAGAAGATGGACACTGTAAAATAGAACAAAAAAGTTTGATTTTATTATAAACAGTTATCCTATGATAAACAAAAGAATACTACGTTAATTAGATTTATTTTTTTTATTTATATACAGATTATATACTATTATTCAATACCTTTCAATGTTGTGTTAATTTTAAAAAGAAATTGGTACCATTTTCTTAGAACCTTTGTACCACATAGCTAAAGTACATAATGATAATGTGTACCAAGTAATCATATAAGAAAAATGTTCATTTCTTATTGAAACTGTTGTCTGACAACTAATAGGACCATCAGGTGGATCTACCTTAGACCATAAATCTAAAAATATTGGTGAAGTACCAGCTACCTTAGCCATAGTTTTGATATCCCTAAAATTTACAATTTACTTATGATATGATGATACACAATTACTTTTCTTCAATAATAAAAATAATAATTTACCTGTAATACCATAAACCTTTTTCTGGAATATTTGAAGTATTAAATGGTGGTCGATTTTCTTGTTTTCTTACAACGCCATTAATTTCAACGATACCTTCAATTTGACTACGTGGTAATCTTTTTGATTTTTCAGGTATCCAACCACGATTGATTAAAATTGTTAAACTATAAATAATTAATAATATATATATATTTTAAAAAGAATGGTGTATTAAAAAATAATATCTTTTTTATAAATTTAAATATATACATACTCTTGATTTTCTACCTTAAATGGTGTTATAACATTCCATCCATTGGTATTTCTTGTACCAAATAAATTGCCCACGTCTGTATTATTATTGTGATAAATTGCAGCTCTAGGTCCAATAAGGAATTCTTTTTCATATAAATATTGGCCTTTTACTTTGACAGTACGATATTCCAAAGTATCCAATTGATTTACACTGAAAAAAAATTCAATGCAACATTTTCATATTGATCAATGTTTTTTTTTTTTTTAATAAACAAAACATATATATATATATATATATATTGTTTATAAGAATGTTATAATTACTTTTCTATTAAATCAATAGGATCTGCAGTTATTTGTCTTTCTAAATCTTCTATTAATTTTAATTTCCATTGACGTCTTTGCAATTGCCATGTACCAAGAAGAAACGTTGAAATTGGTACAATCTAAAAATAAATTGTATTTCAAGTAAATTCATATTTTTTTTGTTTTTTTTTTTTTTATGTTCTTAATTATAATATATTTCATTAAAATTACTTACCAATAATAAATTTCTATAAGGACTTTTAGGTTTTTTAGTATTTTGTCTGACTTCACTTAAAGTTTTATGAGTTGTTTTTGATCTTTTTATTAAATGTATTTTAATATTATCACATAATAATAATAATCTATTATTATTTTTATATTGACAGTTATTATATATTAACGTTTTACAAGCTAAATTAGATAAATTTCTAATTAACGTTAAATTCATTATTATTTATTTCTCTTTAATAATGTTTTACTTTAAACACTCATTTACATAGGTTATGTTTAACTTTTATTGAAATAATAATACAATATGAACAATTTTATTATTAAATCAAAATGTTTTTTTGAAATGTTAATAGAATCCTAGTAGTGAGAAAATTTCACATTTTTTTTCCGTCTTTATATTGGTAAGACTGAAAAACTAAAAATAGTGTTATTTTCATGTTAGAAGTTACAGTCTTGATATTGATTCGTTCAGTGTTATACGAGTTGTATCCTGTACAAATTCTTTTGCTTCCGGTTAATCATGGTAAGTGCATTGTGGCTGCATACTTCGTCGATATAAGTTGTGTAAAAATACCGTAAGAATATTAAATTTAAGTTTTATTTATTTATATTGTTATGTATTTTAAATGAAATTCATTATTTTATATTAATTTGATTAAACGATGCGACATATGCATAGCGTTAGTTAACATAACCTTAAAATCAAATAGCGCTAAGCACATGTTATTCGTAATTTATAATACAATCTTGATTAAATTATACTTTATATATATATATGTATATGTAAATGTTAATTAATTAATATTAAATTGATTATTTTCAATAGAAAATAATAAAATAATATTTTTGTAGCCGTTCCAAAGGTTTGTGGAGTCAGGAAGGGTTGCTTACGTTAGCGATGGCCCATACCAGGGCAAACTCGTCGCTATTGTTGATGTTATCGATCAAAATCGGGTATAAATAATTTCTTATTATATTATTAATATAAATAGATCATATTACAAATGAAATTACTGGTAGATAATTTGACTACTAGTTAACATTTTTATTGTTACAAAATGATGAACCAATTATCTTGATAGGAATTGCCGGCTGACATTTAGCTGATGTTAATTTTATAATCTGACAAAATATATTTATGAATATATATATATTAACATTAATACACAATTCCAATGTAAATTCTTTTAATGATCATAATGTTAACAGGTTTTGGTCGATGGACCAGCAGCAAATGTACCTCGTGGTCAGATGAGGTTAAATGAACTCCATCTTACTAAATTCCGTTTACGTTTTCCTTATACTGGTTCCACAAGAGTTGTACGTAAAGCATGGGAAAATGGTAAAATAGATGAACTATGGAAAGATACTATGTGGGCTAGAAAAGTAGCTGCTAAAAAGAAGGTACAATTGTTGTTTATTAAAATAAATATAATTAATATGAAATCTCATATTTGTAATAATCAATTTTCAAACTTTGTTTAATGTAGCGTGCCGAGCTTAGCGACTTTGATCGTTTCAAATTAAGGAAAGCTAGACAAATAAGAAACAAATTGAAAACAAATGCTTTCTTTACGTTAAAAAAGAAAGCTAAGAAAGCCAAGAAGACAACAACTGCTGGTGGTGCTAGTAAAAAAGCAACCAAGAAAGTAGAAAAGAAGTAATATTATTTTATGAAATAAAAAATACATTTTGTCGTATTTAACAGCTGATCTTTTCAATGTATATTTACATACCTCACAATTAATAAAAAATAATAATTATCGTCATTATTAATAATTATAGTTATGAGATCAAACAAATAGTTAAATTAGAATATTCATCTGAAGAAAAATATTTTCATAAAAAAGAATAATCTTGAACAAACTTTGTTTAGTTACTTTTTAGATTAATATTTATATATTTATTTTCTTATAACTTTTATAATATATATAAAACATCAATCATAGGTGTGTTGTTGTTTACAGTAGCAAAAAATCGTTGTGGTAAATATTACATTGAAAAATTACATATAATAGTGTTTTTTCTTGTCCCCATTTTGTTGCAAAACATATTTCACAAAAAGTTTATATAAGCAAAGAGATTATTCATTGCATTAAATAAAATAAAATTGTGTATTTAATATACATAAATGTTATAAAATCAAATGCAACATTCTAGAGATTGTTGATTGCATAAAATTGCATAGAATTGCATAGAGAATTGTTTATTTTTAATAATTATCATAATACGTCAAATATTTCGAATCATCATCATCATCATCATCTATTTGTCCATCAATTCTAATCTTAATTTATTAATTTTAACGGGAAGTAAATTAACTATCTCTTTGCATAAATTAAATTCTTCTTTCATCATTTCAGCAGCCTCAGGATGAGTTTCACAATAATCAATTATAAATCTGTAAGCATTTAAACTATTTTGAGTATTAACCAATTGTACTGATTTATCAAATGTAATCATTTTATTGTACAATCCACCCATCAGAAAATATGCACTTAATGCAGGTTGTTCTAAATCAGCAGGAAATGTTATGTTCCTTCCATCAGTAGTATTACTGTCCAATGAATCTAAGAAAAATTGATAACTTTTAATGGCACTTTTAGCCAAATTATTGATTTTGTTTAATGCTTGAGGCTCAGCTCTGTCATTGTTTGCTCGTAAACGATCCAATTTAATATCCAATATATCAGAATAAGTTGTACTTAATTCTATCCAAATTCGTCTACATACATTTTTATAATATTGCGGATTTAATTCTTTAACAGTAGCTTCTAAAATATCTATTCTACGTTTGTGCATTTTTGCTTGACGATCTTCATTCTCTTCGAAAAATGACAAATATTTATAAGCACTTGACAAATCTCGTATAATTTCAACATAATCTGATGCATGATTTTCAAGAGTGTAATACGTTTTCGCTAGATCTAACCATTTTTGAACATTTAAAAATACAGGTTTAGCATCATCAAAATCTAATAAATAAGCGTCTGTTATTTGATTGACAATTGGTTTAATATCATCCATTAGACTATCAAATTTGAGATCATCGTAAGATTTTTCCGTATCTTTTTCTGAATCTTTTTCTCCTTTAGAATCCAATTGACTACTGTCTTCGGTATCATTAGAATCAGTTTCTTCACTTTCTACTTTTTTAACGAGACGATTTATCGATGAACTTAGTAATAATATTCCATATTTAGCCCAGCATCTAGCAACATCGGCACTTCTGTGCTTGAAACGTTCATGTTCAGCAGCAGCTACTTCACTGTCCATTTCACTTTCTTTATCTTTCATTATTTGTTCATATTTTTCAAGTATATAATATGCAGCTGCCAAATGATGCCTCGCTTGAGTAAATCCTTCATTTGTTAAAAAACATTGTGACAAGGTAGCTGCGTTAAGTGCCCATTCAATGTAATCTAAATCATTCGTTATTTCATTTTGTTCCAATTGCATGCGCAATGTTATATGACAATATACTGCAGATTTGTGATGATTTTTCAATGCACCATATACTTGGGCAAGATAATACAATGTTAAAATATTTAACTTATCTAATACTTGTTTGAAACTCAAACCTTCTTTGGTATCAACGATATCAAAGCTTGATATCAAATCAATAGGTTCTTCGGGATTTGGTTGATCTGTATAATCTTTGTAAATTTGTTTAGCTCTGTCAAGAAATGTTTTAGCCTTTTCTGGTTGACTCCATTGAGACCAAATGATACCTAAATGATTAAGTGCTGCTATAACTAGGACAATACTTTTAGGCTCCAATTCTCTACCTCTAAGTAAATCAATGCATTTCATAAACTGTTCTTCTGCAGTTTTTAATTCTTCTGTATCGGCATTAAGTAAACCTGTCTTTAAATGAGCAGTAGCAAGTAATATGGTCAACATGTCATTGTCTTTCTCTTCCGGTTCATTATTTAGCCTGTTATTTAAATCTAATTCTATTTCTTTGAGTAATTCTATAGCTGCATATTTTAATTTATATGGTTCACGTTCCAAATTTAATTTATTATGTTCATCCAACAATTCTTTGACTTTGGCAAATTTGTCCATTATCAATGGAAAATTTGCATTTAATTCTTCGTACAACATTTTAATATTTATTTAATTTTTTTTTTTTCTTTTTACAAATGTTTTGTATTTTTTGTTTTTGTTTTTCGTTGTTTAATTATTGTTTTGATTATATTGATAGCAAAAGATCATTCGTAATCACATCACTGTCAAGGTAAATAATACAGGTTAGGTATCAGTTGCAATAAACATCAATATACAGAATCCCCTCTTCTTCAATTTTTCTTCTGTGATAACAAAACGTATTATTGTTTTAATACTTTGTAATATCAATGCAATTTATGTGCATATGTTTATATATATATATATATATATATATGACTTTAATTTGACTCATTACATTTGTTTTCAAGAATCAAGTCACGTGATTGTTCTCTCTTACGTCAAAAACCAATAATAAAACTAGATTTTATCAATGACCAATCAGAACGTTGCTATAGTTTAATCAATGTTGCTAGTGGTGTAGTAAAAATGAATAGAAACTTGTCAAAACAATTTCTACCAATCATAATTATTTTATATTTAAATCAAATTTATTTATATTCTTTTATTTTATTTTTTTTTGCATATATTGTATAATGTTATAAGTTATTACATAATATTTATAAATTGTTAAGTTAAAAAATATTGTGTTGAAAATTATCAGATGAGATATTAGATTTCTCTATTGATTTGATTTATTTATTAACCGGCATTAAAACATGATTCTAAATCAATCTATAACAACAAGGATAGAATAATTTATTTTATATAATAAGTGTGATTATAAAATGAATTACTAATTAGTCATATTTACAAACTAATAAACAAATGATTTTAATATTCTAATTTTACTCGACAATATATATTTAATGAATAAATAATACAATAATGTTATTAACCTCAAAATATATTTATTGAATATATTACAAAAATTAAAAAGACAATAAGTTAATCATCATGCATAAAGCTATTTCAAGGATATTGTTTTATGAGAAACACAGTTCTATTTGTTTTTCATATAATTCAATGCAACGTTATGTTACACAAATAGAAAATAATGACGATAAGAAAGGAAAAGTGTCTAACCTAAAAAAATATTGGTTAGACAAATATGTTAATTATATAAAAAGTTATGAAGCAACGTTAAGTAAAAATTTTCCTAAAACAATGGGCTTATATCGTATGTTTGTTTATGGTACACAAAATTATATATCTGATTTAAAAGTTTATCTAGTCATATTAAAGAAACATAGTTTAGATGGGTTAGATAGTTTAACTAGAGATGAAATTCAATTAGCACATTCAATACACAAAGATGTAATTAAAGCTGCACCAGTCATTTTAATATCCCTAATACCTTTTACAAATTATGCCATCATTCCATTGGCATATTTCTTTCCACGACAAATGTTGACCCATCATTTTTGGACACCAGAACAAAAGATTGATTTTACGCTTTATTATTATTCACAAAGATTTAAATACAGTAGACCATTATTTCATTGTATGGAAAGTAAAGCTAATCATATAAATGATCAAATATTAAAAACTAAGTGGAGTGGAATAATTGCATGTTTGGGTAGTGGTGGACAACCAACAGTTGAAAGTATGGTATCTTGTATAGCTTTATTTGCAAGTTCACCATATTCATTGGATACTCTTGAAAGTAAACATATGGTAAATGATTATATAAACTTTGTATTATTTATTAATAAATAATAAAATATATTTGATATTTGTCCATTGTAGAATAAGCTGCTTGGTATTCATGAATTGTCTGTGTGGAAACCATTTAGAAAACAACGTTTGAAAGAAAGGGGTTTGTTAATAAAACGAATGGATGATGCTATCATTAAAGAAGGAGGTGTAAATACAATGTCTGTAGAATCATTGAGTTGGGTAAGAGAATAAAAATGAATTGTTTTTTTTATAAACAAAGTCTCTTATATGAAAAATACTATTCTACATCTTTGAGACTTAGTCTTTCATGCAGAATCAAACTTGGCTTGTTTTTAATACCAGTTATAAGAGAAACCTTGTATATTTCATTGAATTTAATTTAATATTGATATATTTACAGGCGGTATCTTTCAGAGGATTAAATTCTGTAAATATGTCGACAGAAAGTATGAAAGATTGGCTGGAACAATGGATATTATTGTCAACGTCAGTTGATAATTCTACTTTGTCATTATTATTGCATGGTCCAATTTTATTAGCTTATAATCATATTAATAATTTAAAGCTTTTGTATAATAAATAAAATAATACTTAATGCGATTAATAATTACGTTATTATCATAATATTTATTTAAATTTAATAGAAAGAGAATGAATGAAGAAAATAATACCACATTGATTATTATTAAAAGGTAAAATCTTTATTAACAAATATACATACTTTATTTACAGGTATATCTTATACATTTTACAAAATATAATTTTTTATACTTCGTATATAAGTCTAATAGTTAGAGGGGGGGGGGGGAATAATAAAAAAAAATAATAATATGGAAGAATAAATATAATATAATATAATATAATATGTAATATAGTTTATTCTCATAAAGACCAAACATGAATTGCCCGACTTATTTATGAAATTGAAAAAAAAAAAAAAAATGTACAATTGAAAAATAACACTCTGAAGAAGAATTAAATGCAAAATAATAAATGAATATAATCATCAGTTGTAAATATTATTGTATGATGAATTATAGAATGAAAATTTTGTTTGAAATGTTTTAAATTCTTCTGATTCTAAAGAGCAATATTTTACATGTTTGTACTTTAGGTCAATGAACATTTGATTTGTTTTTTTTTTTTTTTTTTTTTTTTTTTTATAGTCAATGAAAATTGTCGTTTATTGCAAATTGATTTAATTGCAGTTATAGTTTTACCATATATGATTTAATTTGTTTTTGTTTTTGTTTTGTTTTGTTTATCGTGGAATAATAATAATAATAATAATAATAATAATAATTTAAATAAAAGAATAAAATAAAAATAAATTTAGTAAAATATATAAATAAGCAATGTAGAATAATATTAGTGTTATTTGCTTATCATTTAAAAAAAATTCACAGAAAGGGGAGAAAAATGAATACGTAAAAATAAGTACACAATTATATAATAATAATAATAGTTTACGTGTAAGATATAAAATCCGCAAAATGATGTACTTGTTAATATTAATGTAATATAAATGAATGACAAATAAATTTAATGTATTAATACGATTTTAAAGAAAAAGAAAAAAAAAAGAAAAAAAAATATAATAAAAATAATAAAATAAAACGTCGAAAAATTTGTTCTAAGAACAAAAAAGTTCAATAATAACGCATATTATTAATAATAAGATAAATGAAATATTGTCCAGCATATGAATATCAAAATCAAAAACAAAAATGCATGCACATATATGCATGAATAAAATTTAAAAAAAAAAAACAAAAAAAAACACACAAAATTATGATGACTTTTATAATATCAATCATACTTCTTGTTTTTCTTTTTTTTAATTAATAGGAATAAAAGCTGGTAAAACACCAAGTGGCAATCTTTTCGGTAATGTATTTTCTAAACAATTTGTCGATTCATTTTCCGATATACTTGATTGTTGTTGTTGTTGTTGTTGTTCAGTAACATTATTGTTAGCTGTTAATTCCTCTTTTACAGATACTTCATCTGATTGTTCAGCTAATGCAACATTTTTCATAAGTTGTATTTGTTTAATAATATTATCTCTTTTAGTATTAAGATCAGTACTAATTTGATCAGTATTCTCGTAATATCTTAATTTACAACATTCATGATTCGTCATGATCAATTGTTCTGTGTTATTCTTCATTTTAATGTTAGATTCATTTTGATTATTAATTGTCTTAGGTTTCTTTTGGATATATTTTTTAATTTGTCGGGCAGTAGATGTTATTGGTTTATGAGGATACGGACATTTCTTACCTTTATTGCAGTTACCTGTCTTGCTATATTCGGGACAAAGATGTTCATGCTGCAGCTTACACTGTATAGAAAATATGAACTAATCTAAAGTGATTACATAAAGAAAAAGTTTATACCATTATTTATAAACTATACTCAACACGTTCATACTATGATGAAGAAATTATTATTATTATTATTATTATTATTATTATTAGTGAACGTGTTAATTAGTACAGTTATTTAATATTATGAAAAAAAATATAATTTAATTAATTATAAAAGATGATAAAGAATATAAAAAGAAATTCATTACATTACCTCATTTCCCTTGGAACAATACCCTTGAAGAAATTCTATGCAAATGGGTGTACTGGATGAAACTTTGACATGACGATATGGACATTGATCTCTTAAACAACAAGCTTCTAGAAAATATTTGCAGGTTGGCATTTTTTCTGGTCCAACGTCATGGGAAAGTGGACATGAATCCAACATGCATTTTCCTTGTAGAAATCTACACATATTTTTTTTGGAAAGCATATATAAAAGTACAATTTTTCACATTCATTTAATAATTAAACATAAATAGAAATAATGTTTTGTTTTTTTGTTTTTTTTTTTTTTCAATTACGCCCCTTATAAATAAAAAATAACGATATACTTTTTACAAACTGAGATCTGTTTTTTGTCATGAAGTTTCGAACAGGTTCCCTTCTTTTCATTGGCACAATATCCAAATCGTTGGAAGAACAAACACGGTTGATTATTTTTTCGCATTTTGTTGCGCAAAATTTGTATGCTCCTTTGTTTAACTTTATTACTGTAAATAAAAAGAAAAATAATGAATATACATACAGTTATAATAATAGCATTATATGAGGATGTAAATAACTATACGTACCTAATATTTTTCTTATAAGTTGTTTTGAAATTATTGCTCACACTGGACAATTTCAAATCATTCGTTTGATGAACATTTTTCTTGTTCGGTGTATCTTTGGATGATAATTTGAGTCTACAAAGTTTTTTACCATTGGTCGCAATTATAAATTTATCACGTTTAGTATTTGCTGTAAGTTTTTCTAAAAGAATAAAATTCATAATGATATAATATAATTATATGATTAATGTATATAAAGATAAGAAAAATTGAATGAATTACTTTTTAATGAGTAACTTCTTCGAACTAATTGATTTCTCGACGATTTGTATACTATTCCTCCAATTGTAACTAATTCCATCAAATCATATCTAAAAATATAAGAAGAAAGATTTTAATCAAAGTAATATATATTAAAATAAACAATTAATATTACATTCAATTTATATTTGTACAAAATTAAATATATATATATATATATATGTATGTATGTATATATATCTACTTAGATTTTTTTACTGGAGGAACTTCATTTTGATTAGGTTCAGTTAAAGCTTTTACAGTTCTATCAATCTTGTATTGATTGATTTTTCTTTTACCATTATTTATCTTTGATAAATTGTTAACATTGTTAATCGTTGATTGTAATGCATTATTGTTTGTTACATTATTTGTACTTTGTACTGTGGTAGTTTTAATCTTCTTTGTTAGAGATGGTCTTTTGACTTTGTTCGGACCATTTAACGGAGACATTACAGTATTTTCTTTCATTGTGCGTTTAGCTCTTATTAATTTTCTTTTTGACAATACTAATATATTAGACATGTTATTAAGTTTTTTAACAGGTGTCTTTGTATTGTCAATTTTTCTAACAAATTTTAATCTTGAACATGATGGTTGATTCAAATTAGGAATTGTATCTTTCTTTTCAATTGTTGTTGTTTTGGATTCCTTGCTTGATGATAATTTCGACATTAATTTTGGATTTACGTAAACAGATTTTTTAACATCCGTACGAATAAAACATTTTTTATTATTGGACGATGTAACACCATCACATTTATAATTATTTTCTGTAGTTACATTTGAATTGTTAATACTGTTCATTATTTTTGGATTTACGTGTATTGATGGTAGTTTAGCAGTAGCAGCAGCAACAACACCAGCAGCATGTAGTTTTAATTTTTTTAAATCCATTTGAGTTAAATTTTCTTGAGGATAATTCATGGTAGTTGAAGTATTGTTAATTGTATTATTATTTGTACTAGTAGTAACATTTTGAACCATTTTAGGGTTAACATGTATTAATGGTTTTATATGCATATTTGGATTGATATGTACCACAGGATTTTGTGGTTTGAAATATGGATTAACGTAAACATTGTTGTAGGCCATTATGGAAGGTTTTGATTGTATTGAATTATTTGAATTTTGATTCATCAATGTATTAGTATTTCTCGATTCAGGAAATGTATTTGTATTCATTTCAAGTTTTTTTGCATTATTATTTAGTTTATAACCAATTGTATTGGCTATATCACTTGGAGGCATATCTCTAAATGATCTGCTTCGTAATTCTTTTGTCACACCTGAAATGATATATGACCTTGTAATCATCTGTTTAGAAAAAAAAAAATATATCAAATAATGATTATTTAACTATTTACAGTCTATATAATTAAATTGTCGACGATTATCACCCATCGTAAGAAAAATAAAATTCACTTATCACTGGTTGATTATATATATTTTCGTATTTAATTTTTGTAATAAAACACGGCACAAGATTTTCAATGTTTCACATGAATACAAAGAGAACGTGCTGGAATGATCTGAGAAAACTTTCACTCGTGAAAGCGAACGTATCATAGACCACGGAAAAAAAAAATGAAGAAAGACGATGACGTGAGATTAATATCTTCTTATAATCAGAATTTACAAAACGAAATACGAACCAATCAGAATTTTCAAATTTTCGATTTGAATGGAAAGAAAAAGAACAAGAACAAAAGAAAAGAAGAAGAAAGAATCACGTCTTATCGCTGATTATGAATTCGGCTTAAGTTTATTTGAAATTTACAGCACGAGATGGCGCGTGCATATTATTCAATTCGAAATTGGCGGCTCGAGATGCGCGCGCATGTCTAGTCCGCAATAGGCGGCTCGAGATGCGCGCGCATACCTAGTCCGCAATAGGCGGCTCGAGATGCGCGCGCATGTCTTGTCCGCAATCGGCGGCTCGAGATGCGCGCGCATGTCTTGTCCGCAGCTAGCGACACGAGATGCGCGCGCATACTAGTTCAGAACTGTCAACGCGAGATGGTGTACGGATGTCAATTTCCAACATTCCCACGTGATATTTGCCCCTTCTATAGTAATTCGTGTAATTCGTGTACAGTAACGGTATTCGAAAGAAGGTAGGAAGTGGAACGTCTACGTTTAACGTTTGCAATTACACATATAGAACACTATCTCTCTACGAAAAGAAGAAAATTCCCTTATAGAAAGATGGTGGCGATAAAATCGTTTATTCGTTGGTAACATTGTGCGCGTGGACAAATCTATCGTGATGACAGTTTCGAGCGGTGACAGCAGTCGCGTAAGTGTTTGTCGGGCTAAGAGAAGCGTACCTTCCTATTCCGTTAGTTAGTAAGGATCCACCACTTTCATCGTTTTGGCTAACGCTCCGTCATTTAATGTGTTATCTACGGAATACAAATCGTGCCGGAGGTAAGTGACCTAATATTCTTTGATATGCAACAGCCAGATGGTTGCAAGTGATTAACTTGACAGTTTGTTGTTCCACATATTATTTGATAAAAAAAACAAAAAAGCCTACCGCCAAAAATCTATCCTTTTTTGGTATACTTTTCTATTACTACTATTACACACGCACACGCATACACTTTCTTTTTATTTCTCAATTTGTTACATTTTTATTACTTTTAAAAGTTATTGATTTAATTCATTTGTAATGTAAGAAAGATTACTTAATTTTAATTGTTAAAGTACAGATTGATTTTACTTTTATCTTTCAAGATGCAATTTATTTACTTTTAATATATTTGTTGTTTTGTTTTTTTTTGTATTTTAAATCTAATTATATTTGATACGTTTAATTATATTTTTCAAGATACAATTTATTAACATTTATAATATATATTATTTTGTTTATCAAATGTAATAATTATTTTATTTCATTTAGTATTTGCATGAAAGGTGTGTATTGGTAATAGGAATTAAACAACAATATAACTTTATCATGGTAATATTTATATGATGGTTCCTTTAATTATGAACAAGTTTTTATTGTAGAACAATTCATTTAATAACAAGAAACAAAAATAATCAAGAAGAATTACTGAAGTAAACATCCAAAAAATCAATGTGAATAATATTGAAAACATACAAAAAAATGAATTAAAGAACATAAAACTTTCTCTCACAGGTATTATAACATTACATAAATTATGAATAATTCAATTAAATTTTCTGTATTATTTATTAAATTTATTTATTTAGGTTATATTGGAACATTTGATTTATAATTCATTTGCATTGGATCAGTTTAAAAATTCAAATTAAACCTCAAAACAAATTATATCATCAAATGATTTGAAATGGATAATAGGAAAACAAAATTTATATTTAACAATAATAAACAAACAAAAAATGAAAATACAATTTGTAAGTACAGTAACGTCAGAGATAATTAAAACGATGAGAGACAGAGAGAGAGAGAGAGAGAGAGAGAGATATGGTGATAGTGTTGGTGATTATATTTGAGTTTGACAGAGAAACGATGATGACGAGTACGTAACACGTGTATATACATGTGTATATTACTCACATATATATATATATATATATATATATATATATATATATATATATATATACTTCATTCTTTATTTCTATCTCTTTCTATCTATCTCTGTCTTCTTCTTCTTCTTGCATGCATGCTTGCATACAATGAATGATGATCCATAAATCGGTAAGAAAAGTTAATAGAGATGACAAATAATAATAAAACTCGTGTTGAGTGTTGTGTGTGTGTTCTTCTTAAACACTTGAAATAATGTTTCTTCATTAATTTTCTTTATTTCAACGACAACTCAGTTTTTTTTTTTTTCTTTATTCTTGTTGTTTTTTGGTGAGAATGAGTTTTGTCCTTGGTGATACCTAAAAAACGAATTAAGTTTGCTATACGAACGAGAACTTTCATGACTTTCGTTTAATATATTTTTCATTCCTTATCGGGAAATAGTGGACATTGTCTTTAAATAGAATCTAATTAGTATATGTGTGTAATATGTGGATGTGTGTGTGTGTTTTACAGTAGTAATAATATGAAGTTTTTACTCCATTTTTGTTTTGTACTTTTTTTTTTTTTCAATTTGCAATGTGTGGTGCATAATTTTTTTAAATGTCTTTTGTTTTTTATTTTCTTTCTTGGGTTGTTTTATTAATTATTAATTTTGTGTCTAATTTTTGTTTTTTGTTTTTTTTTTTTTAGGTTAGTTACATACAAAAGTATTAAAAAAAAAAGAAATGTTTGAATTGGATTTAGTATATAGAAAATAATATGCAACGTTTCTTTGTGAATTATGTTCAAAGAATATTAAGAATTAAATTATTATTATTATTATTATTAAATATTGAATGAAAAAAAAAAAGAAAATTATGTTAGAGAAATTGTTATTAAGACTGTGCAGTTCTTCTCCATTTTTGTTTTGTTCTGTTTTTAAATTATCCCGCGAATTTGTATGCAATTTTAAATGTCTTTTGTTTTCTCTATTATTTTATTTCTACTTGTTGTTTTTTTTTCTTTTTTTATATTAATAATTATATTCATTAAGAGTTCTAATTTTTCTAGGTTTGTAACATACAAAAAAAAAAGTTATTTTACTTGTTTTAAGTTTCATTAAAACAAACGTTTTTTTCTTTTCTTACAAAGTATTAGAAAAAAGATAGAAAAATGGAAGATAATATTTGATTGGATTTAATATACAATGTTTCATTGTGAATTCATTTTAAAGAATATTCAATATCGAATGAATAGAAATAATGATGTTAGAGAAATGAATGTTGAGACGTTATGTGATAAACGAGAGAGGGAATACTGCATGCACGACGAACTTATGAAGATTTATGCGAATTAGGGTAACGTTGGATGAGGTCAGAACTTTAGCACGTTATGATGAATACATGTGCGTATGTTACATACCACATATATATATATATATATATAAGAACCATGTGCGTATGTTACATACCATATATATATATATATATATAAGGTAACAACGCCTTGCTGAGAAATTATGAACGAGCTGAGGAAACGGTGAAAGCGAGTAATTTCAACTCTAATTTCTTTTCATTAGCGATTCGTCCCTAATGTCCGTTAAAGTTAACTTTACAAAACTCGATGGAGAAAGAGAGAAAGAGAAAGAGAGAGAGAGAGAGAGAGAGAGAGACTTCTTGTGAGAGAGAGAACTTCTTGTTCTTTTCTTCATTATTTTTTTCTCTCCTTTCTTTCTCTCTTCTCCAGTTCTAAAAAGTTATCCTTCTTTTTCTTTCTTTTTCAAATAATTTTGAAAACAAAAAAACATAAGATTTTTCTAACTATTTAACTATTTTTTTTTTCTTTTTCCCCTCCATAAGACACAAAACTACTACTACGAAGTAAATGTATGCGGAAGAGAAATAACATTGAAAAGAAAAAGTGTGAAAGTTAAGAAAGAACAAACAAGAAAACATAGAAAAAGGAAGACAACAACAACAACAACAACAACAACAGGAAAAAGAAGAAGACAAAAAGAGAAAGAAGAAGAAGAAGAAGAAGAAGAAAAATGGAGGAGAGAAAAGAAGAAAATTTTAATCCGAGTTTGAACAATTTGATGAACAATTTGAACACGCAACTAAATTTAACTTGACATCTTTCTAGTTGAGGGAAATACAAAGTAAATGAATGCATAAGTGAGAGAGAGAGAGAGAGAGAGAGAAAGAAATAGAAAAATAGAAAGAGAGAGAGAAAGAGAGAGAGAGGAGGGATTAAACGAGCCGTAACACTTTTATTTTTTTGTTATTTTTTTATTTTTATATATCTTTCTCTTTTTGTTTTCTTTTTCTTTCTCCAACAAACGTCGGAAACAATTTACATGGTATTGTCTGTCTGTATATAACTCGTGTTACGTATATACACGTTAGGTATGTGTGTAGTGTATATAAATACGTAGGTAGAGAGAATCAAAAAATAAATAGATAGATAGAGAGAGAGAAAGAGAGAAATAAAGAGAAAGAGATATGCGTTTCCGGATGCCGATTGTACAACTCCGCCGATGGTGGTTCACGGTCAACGCGCTTTCAAAGCAGTTCCGCAAAACTTTTCAATCGGTAGAAAAAGAAACAAATTGTTACCAAGACAAATATAGATAGACAGACAGACAGAGTCAGACAGATAGACAAGTAGATAGACAAGTAGATAGGAAAAAAATATAGCAACCAACACATTTATATATATATCTTTTCATACATTATTTATTTTCCAACCCTTTTATCTAAATTTCTTCTTGTTTCTTTTTTATTTTTTATTTTGTATGAGTGTGTGTTTATTTTTAAATCATATTTTTGGACAAGTAATAAACTACATACACTACTAGTAAAAAAGGAAATAGATAAATAGATAGATAGATAGATAGTATTTTATTTTATTTATATTTTATTTGTATTTTATTTGTATTTTTATTTTATTTATATTTTAGTTTATTTTATTTTAATTATATTTTATTTTATTTAGATTTTATTTTTATGTTTATTTTTATTTATATTTTATTTATCTATCTAGATATACGGACATTAAAATACTTCAGTGGTTTTAGTAATTGCGCGCGTTTACATTTGAAAAAACTAAATCATTCCTATTGTATATATATATATATATATATATATGTATGTATGTTTCAATTTGTTAGAAACTTTGTATTTATTTGTTATTTTTAATACATGAGTAAATTTCATTATTGTAAATCAATGTTTTTTGAGATTGATTCATCATTATAGTATTTAATTAAATCTAGTCAATGTAACAACTACGTAATAATTGACCGGAAGTAACTACTCGCTTACGGAAATTGTCGATTCACTCTTTACATATACACATACATACATACACACATACATATATATACGTATATATTTGATTTAAAAATGAAATATATATATATATATATATAAATGTATTTTGAAAAAAAAATCTCAAGTTTCAAACTTTACATTTCTATGTAATAGAAAAATGTGTTTGCTAAAAAGAAAAAGAAAAAAAGGGTATAAGTTAAAAGGATAAAGATGGCTGTCAATCCAAGTATAATACTTTAGTACTTTGCGTTTAGTTTTAGATCGATTAAATGTCATCTTCCATTTAAGTCTTTTTAACGATCATGTCAAAGGTATTCCAAGTGATAAAATCGTATCGTTAAATATTCAACTAAACTAAGGAGGGGGGAGGAGACACTTTATTTTACATTTTGTTTCAAACGTGTGTGTTCTATTTCTTTTCTGTTTTTTATTTTTTTTTTTTTGTTTTTTGTTTTTTGTTTTATTTTTCTTACTTACTTCCTTTCTTCCACTTTTTATCTATATAATACCCTATGTTTGCTTAAGCTTAACAAATTTTTCGTTGCAAAACAAATTCTACTACGTATTCAGAATAAATTACTTTCAAGCGATAA